AATTAATTCATATTTTATTTTAACAATTGTTTTTGTTATTTTTAAAATTTATTTTGAAAAACTTGAGTAAAACCTAATTAAACCCGAAAACTTTTCTGGTAATTACGAGTATTCAAGTAATTTTAAAGTATTTCAGATAATTTTTGAATACTTGAGAAAAAAATACCCGAACGATTCCTATTTGTAGTAGAGAGTATGTGCGACGGTCCGAACTCAAAAAGAATCAATTCCGATTCAAACTTAAAAAGAAACCGAACCAAACCCGACCGAGAAGATAATTTTATCGGGGAATGGGAACACTTATCTGAAATTCATAAATTCTCTAGTAAAAAGTAAAAACCCTAGAGATACTGCCAAATCCCAAATGTACAAAACCCTAAGTCCCATTTTTCAAATCTTGTCTCTTTGTCGCTCTAAAACCCTAATTTCAATAGGTGAAAATGACGACAAGCATGAAGAAGACGAGGAAGCTTAGAGGACATGTCTCCGCCGGACACGGTTGTCTCGGAAAGCATCGTAAGCATCCAGGAGGTCGTGGTAACGCCGGAGGTATGCATCACCACCGTATCCTCTTCGACAAGTATCATCCTGGATATTTCGGTAAAGTTGGTATGAGGTATTTCCACAAGCTCAGGAACAAGTTCTATTTCCCCATCGTCAATCTCGACAAGCTTTGGTCGATGGTTCCTCGGGAAGTTAAGGATAAAGCATCGAAAGAGAATGTTCCGATGATCAATGTTACTCAGTTTGGGTATTTTAAGGTTTTAGGTAAAGGTTTCTTGCCTGAGAATCAACTTGTTGTCGTCAAGGCTAAGTTTGTGTTGAAGTCAGCTGAAAAGAAGATTAAGGAAGCTGGTGGTGCTGTTGTTCTCACTGCTTAGGTCATTGTTTAAATTTCGATTACTCTTGGTTTCTTTTCTTTGAAAGCTTTGATACTTTTGGATTTGGGGTTCGTGTTGCTTGACTTGAGTGAAACATTTCCTGATGTTACTGTTTTTCAATTCTACTCTGATTTGTTACATTGATTCAATATCGAATGGATAAACTAGCTTTGATCTTGGGTTTGGGATGTTTAGATCAACTCAGAAACTTCTCAAAGTAATGCTCTTTGAGATTAGTATTCCACATGCTATGATAATTTTTCATTAAGACATACTTAGTTCTCAAAAGTCAAAATGTTTATAGATAAAGTGGCTCTTACATATCTTTTCAATGTTAAATGACATATAAACTTAAAAGCTTTATAGAAAGATAGAATCAAAATTCCTTTTGGTTCGGATAAAAAAATATAGGTAAAAAAATAAACGCTTTTTTAGTTCAAAAGAGTCTCTTTCTCTGCTATTCCTCCCCATTCTCTTATCCTTTCCTCTGCCATTGCAGCCTGCAATTACATCACTCAACTTGCTAGTTAAGAACAACTCGGTAAGCGAGATCTTATGAATATCGTCTAAACTGTGTTTTGGTTTCTTACCTCTTTATCCCAATTGGTTTTGCAGATCATATAAGTCAAGATTATTGACTGAACAAAAGTTCCCGTCAGCATCCCCCACCAGATTCCCTGATCAATACAAGTTTCCGCAACATCAAAAACTCCGTTCTTTCGTCCCTTTTATAACGATTTTAGATAAAAAGGATTTTGAATTTCATTACCATTACTCCATATTCAAGCTTAAATCCCAACAATAGACCAAACGGGATTCCGAAGAAGTAATAGCAAGCTATGTTCACATACGCAACATTAGCTTGCCATCCCGCTCCAACAGCCACTCCTATGTAAATCGAATTGGTTTTGAGTTGGAAGTCCAGGTGCATCGATATCAAATCCACAAAACCAAAATGTGTTGAACTAATCCAAAATATATTATTAAGGTAGTTTAAAGAGAGGTACCGGACAAAACAGGTTGGACATTGTTGATGACAATGCAGAAGGCAAGCATTGGTGTGAGGTCTCTAACCACATTCCTAACTTCTTCTTCTTCCACAAACAAAACCGGGTACTCGTCCCGGAAGAATAATAGAATTGCCGCTATAACCAGCCCGATCGCTGTCGATAATATCACCGCCACAACTAGAGAGAACTTGGCCGTTCTTGGGTGGCTAGCTCCTAGCTCATTTGAAACTCTCACACTACCAAAATGAAGAAGGAAAAAACACGTATTATTAGCTTGGCATGTAAGAGATGTGTAGAATTTGAAAATATTTAGTTTTAACACGAGTGTGGATTTACCTTACTGCTGCGTTTATACCAATTGAAACCATAGCTGCCCATCCKAAAATGTTCATGCTTCATTTTACACACACCAATAAAGTAAACAGATAATTAGAGATAAATTTAACGAAAATTTTGTAATTTTCTTATCCATGGTTATAAATCCCCTATAGGAATATACGTGTGTGCAAGTCTATGCAGTCGACCAGCAAAATTAGATTAAAATTGTGTGAAATATTTAAATCGAGTATTAGACTATATTGGCCACAAATGACAAAACAAATAGACTACTACGCACGTTGGGTCTACTCTTGTTTACGGAATCTTTCAGATAAGTTAAATAATTGAATAAAATAACAAATCATGCAAACCAAAATTGTCATGAAGAAATGATAAATTTAATAAAAGTATCTTCTATAAGAAACAATGTAATATTTGTTACCATATGGAGAGTGCAGCTACGGAGACTTCAGCATTCTTCAAATATCCAGCAAATAATACGAGTGCCATGAAATACCAAACCTCCAAACTACAAAAGTAAATAAATTATAATTTTAAAAATATAATTTAATAAGTCGGACCAAAAAATAACCGGTTCAAAACTCACCAAATCATGACAGCAGAAGCCAAAGACAATTTGACAAAACCCCACAAATTGTGAAAAGCCTCCCAAGTGAATCCAGACCAAGCCTCTCCACACGTACCACCAAAAATATACACGAGTTGTGCCACAACGATGAACACCCACGACGTGTTAAGCACGAAAGCTAGACCGGGGAGTCCCCAATCAAACCTACATGTGACTAGCCACGTGAGGAACGTGTGAATCACAAGAGCCACGCCAGAGATAGATGCCATGACCATGATCTTGCTTTGTGACTGCAAAAACTTTGAGGTCGGGAAATTGATGGCGTATGCAAAGATTTGTGGGATCATGTAGATGGAGAAAAGCCCGGCCATGGCCGAGATCGCAGCGGTTTGGCCGATGAATAATAGGACTGGAGCCGCGAAGATATAGAGTAGAGAAAGGATGAGAGCGGTCACGCTTAGAATCACCCATGAGCGTTGTAAGTAAACGCCGAGCATTGATACTTTTCCTGCTCCAAACGCTTGTCCACATAGCGTTTCCAACGCGCTTCCCATTCCAAGCTAATCGCGTTTGCAATCGCACAAAGTAATAGCCGTAAGAATTTTAAAAATTTGCATACAAACTACCAATCTAGTCAAAATACGTAATAACACATTAGACTATTTTTGTAGTGCGGCTAATATACATATTGATGGATCGGTTTTTATTTAGATTTGCACGTTTTAATTTCATCGTAAAACCTATATAACAACTACTGGTCTTATAACCCAAAAATGAAGCATTCAATCACAGTGGACTACCATGAGATACGGTCGTAAATTAAATAGTGTATATTTTTTTTTTTAACTTCGTAAATTAACTAGTTTTTTTTGTTGGTTCTTAAAAATGTATGCAAACCTAATGTATAACGCACCATGATACCGTAGGAGAAACCGGCGATGACGGAGTTCTCGATGGAAACGGCGGCGAGTGCGATGGTGCTCATGTGTCCGGCGAAAACCTGAGTGATGGCTCCGAGAGAGAATTGGGCCAACGATGTGAAAATGGCCGGGCCGGCTAGTTTCCATAGCTTCTTAGACTCAATTCTAAACTCTCTGGCAAAATCTCCGACGGTGGAGATCGGCGGGATATCGACGGCGGTAGAGGAGAAAGAGACAAGAGAAGATGCTCTGCTTCCGACTCCAAGATATTCCATCAATGCTTTCCGGGTCGTCGGGTCAAGTTCCTCCGTCGACGACAGAAACGGATCCATGAAGTTGTTATCTTTCTCCATTTTCCAATGAAGAGAGAAAGAAAGTGCTTAGAGGAACTTGTGATCTTTAGGTATCAATAATTCATGAATTATATAGATACTAAGAAAAGTTTGTTCTTTTTAAAAACGTTTTCTAGGGGTCTATATATTAATGTGGATTTATATGTTTAAAACTTTAAATATAAAAAAACTAGATTTTGTAATTTCAATGTAGAAGTTTTTGGAGGAGTGGTAAAAGACAGCTTTACACTAAGTTGATGTTTAAAAAAAAAAACAGACAGCTTAACAACAGTAAGATCTTGACTTAGTAGTGTTTCACATTCACAGTATAATTTTCATATATACATATATAGTTTTATTTGTGTCTGTCCAGTGTTGTATAACTGTCATACAAATTCATAGAGTAACGATTTGATATTTCATCGCACGACTAGGCTAAACAATAAAATAAATTACTCTCAAGTCTTAAAACAAGTATAATTTATTTTTGTTTTAGTCTGATCTGATTGACCATTAAGATCTTTGCTTCATGGACTCCATGTGCACTTCTCGCTACGTGCGTACTACGTAGCAATCAATGTGGTAGATTTTGGAATCCAGTGAATGAGAACATTAATAAAGATTTAATTTGATTGGCTAAGGTACTTGGCTAATTAAAGACACAATGATTAGGACCCATATAAACTTGTAACGGGCTTTTTAGACAACGACTCAAGTGCTGAAATCAAAAGATACATGAAAGATTTCAAGGTTTCGTGGTTAATTTATGTTTACGTTGATGTTTGTGTTGATAACATGACCAAGTAATTTCATTTTCAATGAACTTTTGACAGAAACGTTAGTTTTTTCGTTGTTTCTTTTACACTTTTGTAATTTCATTCGTTTTGTTATGAAAAGGCATGAACGAGTCACTTTAGTTGCAATTGTATATATGTTCCCTAGTATTACGATAAAAAGAGCATTTGAACAATGTTTTAAGAATATTTTGAGACTGAATTTCTGTTGTGGATTTAGAGAGGGTCCTTAGAAGTTCAACACTACAATTTTTTTACTTTGAGACAAATTTGTAAATGAAATTCATAAACAAGTTAAGATGGTATATACTTCATCGAAAAAGAAATTGGTAATGATTCTAATTAGTAAAATGATTATGTAGAAGCAGCCGATAAAGAAGGCGGAAAAACAAAAGACTATAAGCCCATACAATTTGTTATGGACCTTTATAGCGCAATTATCATTGCGAATAAAATCGTTGCTAATTAGAATTATATGGGCTTATAGTCTTTTGTGTTTGTCAATCATAATAGTCTTTTGTTTTTGTCAACCCATGTAATTTTTTTTGTTGTTAGCAATATTGATTTCTTGTTATATAGTTTCTTTTGTGAAAACTTGTAACTTCCAGCCAAACGGTTGCAATGTAAAGTGTAAACAATCGTTCTTATGTAATATTAAAGTTAGTAATCTAGTGGTTTATATCTATATATAATAGCAAACTCAAAAAAATGATTATTTTTTGGTTGTGTCTTTTCGGTTTATATATAGTGGTTATTTTTAAAAGTTGCGTTTTTTCGAAAGGTTGTGTCTTTTTGTAAAAAAACCGTTTGGTGGTTATTTCTAAAAGTTGCATCTTCTCGATATAACCGTTTTGTCAAGAGTTACGTCTTTTCGACATAACCGTTTTATGGTTATTTTTAAGGGTTGCATCTTTTCGAAACAAACCGTTCACTTC